ATAGGCTAAGGTAAGAAGTAGTCTAAGCTTTCTTGCTAGCCTAATTGGAGAGAAACAAGTTGACCCCCAGCGAGAGTTGATATCTGTGGTGGGTTTGTTCACTAAAGCACTTCCCCTTGGGGAGCCCCAGTCCTTTTTGTGAACAAGCATGATGTAACACTTTGGTTATGCACAGACTACTGGAGGTTGAACCGAGTGACAGTGAATAATAAATGCCCATTATCTCAGATTGATGATTTATTTGATCAGTTGAGGGATTCTAAATATTACTCCAAGATTGATCTTCGCACAATGTACCATCAACTGAGGATCAAGTAGGAGGACATTCCTAAGACAACTTTTTGAACAAGGTATGGTCATTTCGAATATACTGTAATGCCATTCGAATTAACTAATGCTCCTGCAGCATTTATGTATTTGATGCACATAGTATTTTAACTGTATTTAGATCAGTTAGTTATTGTGTTTATTGATGACATTGATCTATTCACAGACACAAGGGGAACATGAACACCATATTCGGGTAGTGCAACAAACATCGAAAGAGCATAAGTTATATGCTAAGATGAGTGAATGCGAGTTCTAGATGAAGGAAATGAAATTCATTTTCCATGTTGTGTCGGAACAGGGTGTAGTTATTGATCCCGCAAAGTTGAAGTAGTGTGAAGTGGGAACCACTGAGGAATGTGACAGAAATACCTAGTTTCCTTGGCTTAGTAGGCTATTACAGGAGGTTCGTGGAAGGGTTTTCAAAGCTGGCTAGGCCAATAACACGTCTTGCGAAGAAAGGAAAAAAATTCGCTTAGACTCAAGAATGTGAACTAGCTTTTCTCACATTAAAGGAAAGGTTGACAACAACACCTATCCTTATTATTCCGAGCAGTGGTAAAGGATACAATATTTACACGGATACTTCTTTACGAGGTTTGGGATGTGTGCTAATGCAAGGAGGTAAGGTAGTTCCTTATGCCTCGAGACAGTTAAACATTTATGAGCAGAACTATCTTACTCACGATTTGGAGCTTGTTGCTGTGGTTTTTGCTCTTAAATTGTGAAGATGTTACCTATATGGAGAAAAGTTTCAAGTGTTTTCTGATCACAAGAGTCTCATAGAAAGACTTGAATCTTCAGCAAAAAAAGTGGATTGAATACCTAGAAGATTATGATTTTACACTCAACTACCATCTAGGGAAGGCTAATGTAGTGGCAGATACACTTAGTAGAAAATCTTTGGGTGAAATCAATGTTCTTGCTGTTAATATGTAGAAGATGATCGAGGCCTTGGAGGAATTTGACCTACTGTTGGATAAACAAAAGGATCAACCATGCTTATTTAATCTTGTAGTTCAACCAATTCTTCGACAATGAAACAAGACATGGCTAAGTACATTGCAACGTGCGCAGTGTCACAACAGGTAAAGATTGAGTATCAAAGACCAGGAGAATCATTACAATCCTTATTGATTCCTGAGTGGAAGTGGGACCACGTTACTATGGATTTTGTGTCAGGGGTACCCAAAAGTTTCAAGGGACATAATGCGATTTGGGTGGTAGTTGATAGATTGACAAAGACTGCCCACTTTATACCTGTTAAGACCACAAATAATTTGGTAACCTTGAGTCAATTATACATCTGAGAAATAGTGAGGTTGCATGGGGTATTGTTGTTGATTATGTTTGACTAAGATAGTTGCTTTGTGGCTAAATTTTGGCAGATCTTACAAAAGGCATTGGGAACAGAGTTGCATTTCAGTACAACCTTTCATTCTCAGACAGACGGACAATTAGAGAGGGTAATCCAAATTGTGAAAGATATGTTGAGGGCATGTGTTCTTGACCTCAAGGGTAGTTGGAGTGAACATCTCCCATTGGTGGAATTTGCCTATAACAACAACTATTAGGCAAGTATCGAAATGATTCCTTACGAGGCATTGTATGGAAGATCAAGTAGCTCCCCAACTTGTTGGTTAGAAGCTGGAGATAGTAGCTTTGTTTGGACCACAAATGGTTTGTGAGACTATTGAGAAAATTCAACTAATTAGGAAAAGATTACACATGACGTGTAGTAGACAAAAAAACTATGCAGATAGAAGAAGAAAACCATTGGAAGGGAGACTATGTGTTCTTCAAGGTACCACCCAAACAAGGAGTGTTCAGATTTGACAAGAAGGGGAAGTTAGCCCCAAGGTACATCGGACCATTTGAAGTAATCAAAGTTGTGGGTAAAGTGACGTATCAACTTGGGTTACCAGCCTAGTTGTCAAGGGTACACGACATATTCCAAGTATCAATGTTAAGAAAGTGCAAATATGATACAACATATGTCGTGGATTTTGAAGGAATTGAAATTCAAGACAGAGTAACCTATGAAGAACAATCGGTGAAGATTCTCAATACCAAGGAAAAGGTGCTTCGCAATAAAGTAATCCAATTGGTGAAGATTTTGTGGCAACATCATGGGGTGGAGGAAGCTACCTGAGAGCCAGAGTTGAAGATGTGAGAGAAGTACCCTTATTTGTTCTCTACACAAGGTAAGTTTCGATGACAAAACTTTTTTTAAGGGGGGTGGATTGTAAGCCCCGACATGTTTATCTTAATTTGGTGATGTAATTATTTTGTAATGCTCATATATATAATGACTTAAGACTGACTATATAGATTGTAAGAGTAGAAATAAAAACTTTGACAGAGGTAATAAGGGTTGTATTAGAAGTTAAGAAGTATTCCGGAATTTAAGTGCATTTTAGAGAGAATCCAAGTAGGAAGGAATTTGACATTACCTTAGTATTTGGACCACAAATTTCTACTCCCATGTTCGTTTGATCTGAAATGTTTACAGTAGATACTAGATTTCTAGGGTTACAAAAGTGTATTTCACAAAATTTCTTAAATCGACCTCTAATTAGGCTAAAAGTTCCTTGTAAGTTTAGGTAAAAACTGGAATCCGTTCTAACAACAGTTAGTTCCAGTACTTTGGTGTTTGACGAAAACTCTGATGGAATAGCAAAAGTATTGAGAGCAAACAATGTTCGAATGCCCAATATTATGTTCGAATGTCCTGTAGATAGTTCGAACGTCAAGCCTCTAGTTAGAACATACTGTCGCAATTTTGAGTATCAGGTCTGCTCCGATTAAACTGTTTTCTCGTACTATAAATACCTAAGGACATCTCCTCTAACCCTAGGTAAAATAGGGTCAGTTAGAGTCGGCTAGGGTCAAAAATTGCAGGTAATTGAACATTTGCACACCCCTAAATAAAATACAATTTTGCTACAGTGATACTCTATATTTAGAGCATCACTGTAGTATTATGTATAAATAATTTATAATATATTCTTTCTCGTCTTGTCTTTTCCCATATCTCTTATCTACTATTTATATTTCTCTCCATTCTTTCTCTCTCTCCCTCCAACATTTTTAACAAAGGTATAAAATATGAGAAATAATATTTGAAAAAAGTAGTTAAAATTTAAAAAATCTGTTAGAGTGTGTATTGAAAAATGAGTGGCTAACATAGAAAAAATGTACTTTTAAATAGCTAAAATACAAAGAGCAATGCTACAAAACCTAAATGAAATCCAAAAAATTGTAACAAAAATGCATAACATCCCTTAAATGAGTAAATCTCATTAATTTTTTTAGCAGGGCCCACTCATTCCACACTATCCAAGAGATGATATGCATTTGAATTTGAATTTTTGAGTTTCATTTGAGTTATGTAGAATTTTTTAAATACAAAACCTTGTTAGAGATACTCTAAGGATCTACTTTTGAGGACTAAATTCAATGTAGCAATTGAATTAATTATGAATTCTAATATTAGCTAGAACCCACTTTCAATACAATCCAATGATTACATTGAATTGGAATTTCAAATTAAGTTCAAATAACATTTTCCCGTTCCATAACGCTTAACTTTAGTGTCAAGATCTCGTACATTTTTTTTTTTTTTGAGGGAAAACCACATCCAAAATAATATTGACTTTGTGTTTACCTTCGTCAAATCTTTCATCGAAAAGAATATGAGGATAGTAGTTCTAGAGTATTTCATGTACTCCAATGCTTTTCTTGATCACGAACAAATACTCACGGTGAAGGAACACTATGTAGACCAAAATCCTCACCCACAGAAGAAAAACATACTTGGTCACACATTGATTGGAGAGGGAGACGAAGGTGATGTAAAAGAGTAATGGCTGAATATTAATGTCTCAAGTGTCTTGTAGTTGTGGACTTGTACCGATGTTTATACGCTCAATTTCCTACATATGTATAAAAGACTTGCACTAATTTAAGCGCAGTCCACTTTAGTATAGACCCCTCTAACCTAATTGGATTAAATTCTAAGATTTCCGTGGACAATTCTACCAGGTCTTCTCCAATTCACCTCCAGTGTTGGGTGAATTCACGCTAGCTAAGCTCCGTGTGCAAGCTCTACATTAAGAATTCAATCAGAGCGAGCAAGCACTGAAAGAAAAAAACAAGAATAATGTCTTGTACACCCCATATCCATCTAAGCACACAGGTCTAAGCATCTCTAATCCCTCAAAAACCATGGTTAACCTCTCGAGCACCACAATATACCACAATCCATTAAAAAATGAAGTAAGTTACTAACCCATCTCAATACATATAAAACGCTGCTAGAGGGGATGCAAAATGGGATGTACTAGATGATCTTTTCTTCGCCCTCACACCACTTGGCTCAAAACTAATTCCCCGGAAAATAACAAAAAATAATTGATCAAAAAGAAAGACTCAATGAATTGATTCCTTAATTTCTTGACAAGGGGCAGGGTTAGTTGATTCAAAGCTCATCACCATGCTTAACAATAAAAAACACTCAGATTACCCTAAAAGTCTTGGGAGGAAAAACTACAAACTACAGACCAAAAATGTCAATGGGACTATCTCTTGGTGCACTTAACAAACAATTCAGAGCCTCAGCTGTTGATCATCTTGGATGCTGAATAGGTCACATCGATTTGGGCACATGACAGCTAATTTCGGGACTTCTTCCTTGATGACTTAGACGAAGAAGGCTTAGATTGCTCTGCAACAGAATTCTGTGATGCTCCTTTGGAGCTAGATGTTTGGTTCGATTTTGAATTCACAACATTGACAGCCTCTTTAGCTACTGCGCCTTGAGAACCTCTAATCTGAGCTGCTCTCTTATCCTTTCGTTTTGGCCTGTAACTAGACCTCTCCCGCTTAGGTAACCACCGTTCTGGATCTGGCGGAGGACCCGGGTTTGCAGGGTCAAACCCTTTTGGATACCTCGGCTTTCTCTTCCTCTTCTTCTTTGCTTTCTCTTTGCTCTTGGTTTCATATGGTTCAGTGATGCCCAGTTGAGGCCCATTTTCAACATGCTTTGCGCCAGAAGTTTTCTCCAAATTGTCGACATCAACTGCCTTCAAACCAGGCAACGGTTTAAGTTGTTTCGCATAAAGTTCCGCTTTCTCAACATCTGTAAGAGCAGCTGTCCGGATTAGCCCTACCAAAGCCTCAATACTTCCGTGGCTTTTAACAAGCTGCTCATAGAGTCTGGAAGCCTCCTCCTTCCGCCCATGCTTGAGTTTAAAAGAAGCAGCCTCTTGCATGATGACATTCAGCTTATTGTCTTCAGTCATGGCATTCGACCACCACTTGATTGCAGAATCAAAGATGGCATCGGCACCATTAATGTCTCCAGCCCGCTCTTTAAGAGAGACAAGAGTGGCAACTGTGGCAGGCATGTGTTGAATATCAGGTATCTTTGCAAGAGACTCGGCAGCAATTTGAAGATGACCACCACCAGCAGCAACCTGTGCCCTTGCAAGGAGAACCACCTTGGACTTGTCAGGGAACTTTTCTGCAAACTGCCCCAGTATTTCTTCAGCTTTTCCAACCTTGTTCTCTCTCACAAAGACGGCAGCTTGAAGCAGCCCTGGCATCACATTGTCAGGAAACATGCCTGGCAACACAGTAACAAGTTCTCGAGCCTGTAATTTCATTAAAAAACTATTTGAAGAGAGCCAAAAAACCACATAAGGGGATGCAGGTTAGTCTGCCATATTTTATAGGCAAGGAAAGCAGAGATATCATAAAAACTGAAAAGAACTGCATATGACCTGATCCATTTTATTAGAGTGAAGTAACAGCAGCACCCGATTGATGTAAATCGCTTCCCTTTGTTTTGGTGAAAGCTTCAAGTCCAGTCCACGAGCAAACTGGAAGCTCTGTGGTCCATTGCTTTTCTCCATTATCCGATCAAGTTTCCTTAGGCTATCAGAGACATCTTTGGGACCTTTCAATGCGATAAGATTATTTATTGCCACAGCAATGGAGGGTTCATCCACCAGATTTCGCTTGATAATGCCTGTGAAGGATTCAATGGCTTCTTGTGTGCGTCCAAGGAGCTGGAAATAAAGAAAATTTTCATTCATGGCAACTTGAAACTGTAGAATAAGGAAACAAAATACTACTGTAATATTACCTGCTGAACATATGCCAACTGGACAGCTATAGGTGCTAATTCGATTTCGATATCGTCATCCGCCAAATTCTCTTCCATTAGTGTTTCCTGACCAATTCTGAAAAAACAATTATATCAGTATCTAAATGAGTGCATATTTTCCACCTATGTGGGATCATAATCACATGGGACACAAAACACAGCAATGTACCAAACAAAATTGTAGAAACTACAATCACTAGCTAATTTCATGCTAGCGCTACTAGTAGGTGATACCCTACACATATCCTCAGTTCCATTATATTTGGCCAGCCATAAATTGAATCTATCATTGCTTCATAAAGCATACCATGATCATCTTACTAAAGGAACAACCAAAAACATTGTATATTCCGGGGATTACAATATATTTGCTTTTGAACACTCTCTGCATAGATAAATATTATGGCGTCAATCATGCACTCCAGATAAAATACATGTTATGCAGTTAATCACTGGGAAAGATGAATTGGAAAACAAAGGAGAAAAGGTTATGCTGTCCATCAGATCATATTCCTTTTAACCTAGGCAACCTCCTCCTACTCACACCCATCTGAGAAAAGAATGAAAAAAGGAAAAAAGTCGACCACAAACAAGGCCTCTCAAGATTTATACCAACTACAAAAAAGTTTAGTGTCCAAGTTAATATCAATACTATAGTGCTAATGCTGGTTTGACCTTTATCCACCAAGGGCCAGAAGGAAGCGCCCCCCCCCCCCCCCCCCCTTCTCTCTCTCTCTCTCTCTCTTTCCCAACACCAAAAAAAAGAAAGGCAACATGATGACAGTAATTAAAATAAAAAAGTTAAAGCAAATTCGGCGTCACTGGGACAATCCAGACACTCCTTGGACATTTTAGCATTATCACATGCATTTATAGCAGGCCGAAAGCACACCCATGATTACACAGACATAACAAGTACATGGTGCGACTGTACGTTTACTGTAAGTCATTAACGATCAGCCTACCACATCCTTTCCTATTTTCATAGGGCACAAAACCAGTTATGTGACATAAAATACTTCGGGATATCAGAGCTAATAACTGGAAATATTTCAACGATCCTAGCACAATAATATCAAGACTCGCTACATTCAACATGGGTAGTGCACACAATTAGTGAAGCTATTCAGCTCCTTTGACTATACCTGTTATTAAGCATGGATTTACAATTACGTAGTGTAGCATCAATTATCTTTTTTTGGGACAGTGTGCCAAAACTCAATCCAACGTAATTTATATTAAGCCAAATATCTGCTTCCAAATACAAGAAAATGAGTTTCACCATGGGAGAAAGATCTGTTCCGAAAGCATCAACATGGTTCAATAATATTGGGTTCCTTAAGGTATGGCTGACCAAGCATCATTATAATCTCACTTTAAATACACTAGCACATATTCTAATTCATGGTAACCACAATTCAATAAAACCTTGACGACCCGCGATCTGGTACATCGATCCCAAACGAGGTGAGTTTACAATCTAGATCACCAAAATAAACGACCCTATTGTAACACTAACCCTAAATCAATTCGCTTTAGAACATGTAGCATAAATATAAAATACATATTAATTGACTATATGTATATAAATTTATAATTATATATTATTTTAGATAATAAAAAATCAAGCACAAATATAAGATAAATAGTAACTTAGTGTTTATGAATGTTCTGTAATATATAATGTTGTATAGTAGTGAAAACAATCTACATAGGAGTTTTAAAACGAATTGCGACCCAAAATATCATATCAGCTAAACTTACCAAATCGTACCGCGTACTTAAAAAAGTGTCGTACCATATACCCGTACCCGTATCACGTACCAAAGCGACCCACGATTTAGGTAACATAGTTTTGATCCCTTAGTGAATTCAATATGCCACCACTAAAACTCGAAAGTGGTTGTTTGCTATATGTTACCAGACAAAAATGTCTTCAGACTTTTGGATCACCACAATAAACTTCTTAAAAGCCATTGCTAACTGATGTCCTGGTTCAAGATCGCAATATTGGTTATCGACTTGGAGTCCACTGAGACATCGGTCGCGGCGTTGTAAAACGATATTGATCGATACCATTGTTATCAAAATTGTACAATTCGTGATTTGATTCGATTTAATCCCCATTTGATTCATATCTTTTTTGCCAAGAATCACACTTGAATCGCAAGATTTGTACGAATCGCACGATTCGTTTTATTATTTTTTAAACCTTATTTCTAGTAAACCGGTGTCGTTTTGATAGAAGAGGCCCACCCCCAAATATGAAACTCGTGTCTATCTCTGTATCTCCTATTTGCATCTTTGCCTCTCAAACAATTGTTCAAGCGTCTGTGAACATCACACAGAGACGATATCTTCTCCACTCCAGGTATGCTTCTTTAGTTTTTCTTTTTCTTCTTCTTAAAAAATAGCTACCAAACTTTAACATACCTTACTTCTTTTTCAATAAATGCTTTATTTTTTTTATTTTTCATCAAAAATTTATGTTTCAATAAAATGTGGAAAGTGATTTTCTAAATAAAATATCCGAATCAGTATGGACTTTTCCTATTTTAGTTTAACTTCATTGGTAGAAAGACAATAGCTATTTGTTGGTTAAAAATCATGCATCTTTCATTGTGGCCATTTAGAAGGAACAATTTATTATGCATTAAGAAAGAAATAACAGAGGTACAAACTAGAGTAGCTTTATAAAGATTTATAAAGACTAGCATCTTTCCATTTATATGACGTGATCAAGTCAATATAGTCAATCAATTATTTTTAAAATACAATAATGTTCAATATTTAATATCTTGCATATTTTAAATAAGTACATGTTATAGTTTATTATTGTTCAAATTTTACGTAAAATCTTACAATTCCTGATTCTCAAATCTAGAATTTTGATTCCCGATACAAATCTTTGATTTAATATTTATGGTCGATATACATGATAAATTAGATAGAAAGTCCAAAATTCCAAGAGAAAAATCATGAAAAACTCTTAAAAAATAAAAATAACAAAATCCATGCATTATAGGACCAAAATAAATGTTTAACACATTAAACATAGTGGAAATGAATGGTAAGTGCAATCTTAAACTAAAAAATACCAAAAGTAATAAATGATACTTTTATAACTATATAAATAGGAAATAAAGCATTTAAAAATATGCAAGGACTTCAGTAGATATATTTTGTATATAAAATAAGTTATTAAAGTATGTTTTAAGTGTTAATGATGTTTTTTCGATCATAAGTGTAAAGAATTTAGAAGCCAAAAGATATAAAAAAAAACCCATAAATAAAATAAAAGCTCTCAAAGACGTCTCATTCACAAAATAGTTTTCGGACTCTTCTAGAGGGGTTGGTCCATTGAAAGAAAGACAACAAGAGAACGAAGTAGATAGATGAGAGTGAAGGCCGCATGTCTTGATTTCGGTGCGATTGGAGCTCACATCGTGGACCATTATCGCTCTGTTGGTTACCACACGAAGGAGGAGGAGGAGGAGGAGGAGGAGGATGAGGAGGAGGAGGAGAAGAGGAAGAGGTAGATGGAGACTACGATGGTATCCATTTTATCTATATGCTCTCACTTTATTCTTCCTGCTTTATATTTCTTCTTCTTATGAGTAATTGCTTTGTTCTCATAGATATGATCAATTTCCACATGGGTTTCGGCTTTTTACTATCCCTTATCTGTTTTTTGCTTTTTTGGCTCCTTAGTGACTAGCCAGTGATCCCATTGCGAATGTTCGAATTGGTCCCAAGTTGCGCCGAGTCACATCGAGTTAACTCTGAGTTTCACCGATTCATATCCAAGTCAATGTTGAGTTGAGATAGACTCATGCTTTAGGTGCACCGCATAGTGTTATTGGTTTGGTAGAGGCCAAGTCAGACCCAACTAGTCTAATATGAAGACATTGAAGAAAAACAATACTTCACGCTGAATGCCTCAAAGTAAAATTGCCCCGAGTATGCCTTACATGGTTCAAGGTATTGGCCGAGTTTAATACGACTCAGCCACTACCGATACGATATCGATACCTGTTGCACAAATATAACGAAACACAATCGACTCGGGCTTGACTTGGTTACAACTCGAAAATATCGGCTCAACTCAGAGTCGAATCGTTAGACTTGGATCGAGTCGGACCTAGTCAAGCCGAGTTGGGACTGGATCTGTGAAATCCCAAACAAGCAGCAAAATCCATAAAAAAAAAAAAAAAGAGAGAGAAATGTAGAAGAAAAGGAATGAGGCCCATTGATTCATAACTAAACAAGCCAAATGACAAAGGAATAGATAATAAATAAAGAAAAAATTAGAGATAATAAATAAAGAAAAAATTAGAGACCCGTAGGTGTAGAAACTAAGGGCCAAGAAACAATTATCCAACCCTAGATCACACCTTTTTGCAATTATAAAAAAATAAAAAAAGGGATTGAAAGGATTTTTTACAAAAAACCTGGTAGATCAATTACATTGACAGAGCGATTAACAGTGCCCTTATTCTTGTTGTTCTTCTTCTATTGTCGTGTTACTAGTGTAAGTAGTAGTTGCCCAACTTTCAACCAAGTAGAAGACTTGAAAGTTTTCTCTCCCTCCCCGATCGAAACTGTCGCTCTCGCCTCTCATGTTCTCTCTCTCTCTCGTTGTAGACTCTTACTTGAGAGTCAAGTTTTTTTTTTGGGGAATGGACAGACAGTCAAGTTAAAACATGAGAAAAAGGGTTACAATTATAGTAATATAATATCTTTTTTTTTTGTACAGTTGTATTGGAAATGTAATATATTATAAACAAAATTCTACTTAACTAATATACACATACACAATTATAATTCATAATAAATATATCAGTAATATATACACACTAATTTTTTTCAAAATTTTTGTATATTGTCATACATGAATCAATATGTTTTTTTTTTTTAAAATATTTTTAATTAAATGTTAAAATTCCATGATGATAATGCTTAATCTTACCATTATTCAATGTGGCAATTATCATGGCTTGATATGTTTTTTAAGTACTTAAATTGAACATTGATAACTATGAGTATTACCGACAATG